CTAAATGCCAAAACCCCTCAAGAACCCTAATTTGTTTTTATTTTGCCCTTTCCCCCCCGTTGATTTCGGCGACGCGTGTGGTCTGATCGACACGCGCCTCTCCTGCCGATTTGCATGCTGCATGTCAGCGTCGCATCTAGGCAAGGATATGAGGATGATCCAAGCGATGATCCACTGTGTCTTGCCCTATCTCCATGGCATCGGTCGCAATTGGGGTTTTCCTCGCTGTTCTTGCCGCCATTTGCAATGGCACCTTCACGATCTTCTCCAAGATGGAGGCGGTGAGGAGAGCGCGCGTTGATCCACTCATCTTCAACTTCTGGGCATGGTAAGCTAGTCGATCGATCGAAATTTTTCTTTTTCTAGGAGTTTGCTTTTAGCATTGGAATCGCGGTGACGAGCTTCCTGGCATTGATCTTCGTGCACAAGCTGGTTTTTACTCCTCTGGGACTTCTCAGTGGGCTCTTCTTCGTCGTCTCGGCTGCCAATGCCTACCGAGCTGTGCGATTGATCGGCGTCTCAGGTTTTCCATTCTCGTTTCCAGAGAGCTCTTGAGATGTTTTTTCCATTTTCGCAGTTGGCACTGGCATTTGGTGTGGAACCGCTGTTGTTGGTATGTAAACTTAAAACTCCTCGCGATTTTAGCTCAAGTTTGGATTGTTTTTGTCCCAGTTTCTTTCCTCGCTGGCTTGATCTTTGATCCTCACGGGCATGTCCGAAGCTTGGCTTTGGCCATCATAGGCATGTTGATTCTTCTAGCAGGAATTTGTAAGATCGTCGTCCTCCATATTTTCCTTCGGTGCTCACGCTTTTGTTTTTGATCAGGCTCTTTGGCCGCAGCTGGACATATGGGCCGCGTCGCTACTGGTCGAGAAGACGAACTAGACACGCTACTCTATCGTCCAGTACGTCAACTAGCTCATGTCTGTGGGTTCTAAGTTCTTGTAAAGAGTGGTGAGGACAGGATTAGCGACAACTTCACTCATGGAGTCATCGCAGCAGTCTTGGCTGGAATTTTGGGAGGTCTAGTCATGGTAAAGGTCAAAGTTCTCACCACGGTTTTGTCCTTTGACTCGTAAAATGTTTTTCTTTTACAAGCTTCCGATGACCAGAGCGAAACACTCAGCTAGAGTAAGCAAGCATTCGATACCTTCTTTGGTATTCCAGGAACTAATGAGAACTTGATTCTCAGGGACTCACCTATCTTCCATCGTTTGCAATCGGAGTTCTCATCTTTGCACCCATAGTGACTGTTATTCCATACTTGTCCGCGACCAGCCGAACATGGCCGCCGCTCAATCCGAAAGTTGCTTCTGGACCAGGGCTCGTCTCGGGCCTTATTTGGAACATAGGTGAGGAGTTTTGTTTCACTCCAGAAATCTCGAAGGCTCAATTTTTTCACAGGAAACGCGCTTAGCATCCTGAGCATTCTCTACGTCGGCTACACAGTAGCTTATCCCATGTAAGTTTTCTTTCGATTTTTATTTTTTCTAGTTGTAGGTAGATAGGATCTAGAGTGTTGTGATCAAATGATCTTCTTTCGATTGATATCTTCGTTTCTTCGCAGAATGCAATGCGGGATCTTCGTCGCTGGTTTGTGGGGTATGTTCCTGTTTGGAGAGATCTCTGGAAACGCTGCTTCGCTCTTCTGGGGATCGGGAGCCATGGTTCTCATAGGAATTGTATTGCTCGCATTGGCCAAGTAAAAATAACATTCAAGGAAAAATTTCTTAAAGCCCAATTATTCTTTTCGTTAATGGATCGCCTTTTGCATCGGACGGTTGTTCGTGAAGCTTCTAGGGCCTTCGAAGGCTTTCAAAGGGGGCTTTTAACCCTTTTTCCAGTATAAACTAAAACAACGACGAGCTAGGGTTTGTGTCGAGGAGCACAGATCTAGAGCTATGTTTGGGCGCGGGCCAAGGCGGAGCAACGAGACCAAGTATTACGACATCCTTGGCGTCTCCAAGGATGTATCGCCGGAGGATTTGAAGAAGGCATACCGGAAGGCCGCCATCAAGAATCACCCCGACAAGGGAGGCGATCCCGAGCAGGTAAGGTGCTTTGTTTGCCGGATTTCTCTTTTCTCATGCCTGGGATTGCCGGTGATCCCCAGTTCAAAGAGATTTCGCAAGCGTACGAGGTTTTGAGTGACCCCGAGAAGAAGGAAATCTATGATCAGTATGGCGAGGAGGGTCTCAAGGAGGGCATGGGCGGCCCCAGCGCCGGAAGCCCTTTTGATATCTTCGAGTCGCTCTTCAGTGGTGGTACGTTGTGTGTCTGGTGTGGTTGTTTTGGATTGAAAAGGAAGGAAATTTTCCAGGCGGTGGCAGTAGAGGCGGCAGCCGAAAGAGGAGAGGCGAGGATGTGGTTCATACCTTAAAGGTTTCCCTCGAGGATCTCTACAACGGCACGTCAAAGAAGCTTACATTGTCACGGAACATACTTTGTCCAAGCTGCAAAGGGTATGATCGACATCGTTTGTTCTTGTTCTTAAGCTTCCTTTTCTTCAATGCAGAAAGGGCTCGAAGTCTGGGAATTCTTCAAAGTGTACCGGTTGCCGTGGCACTGGAATGAAGATATCTGTCCATCAAATCGGCCCTGGAATGATTCAACAGATGCAGAAAGTTTGCAACGATTGCCGGGGTTCGGGTATGTTTTGCCTTTCTCCTTTTTCCAGTGTACAGTCTACTCACGCGTTCACACGATTCCAGGAGAGACCATCAACGAGAAAGACAAGTGCCCCCAGTGCAAGGGCAACAAGGTTGTCCTTCAAGAGAAGAAGCTTCTAGAGGTTTTTGTCGAGAAGGGAATGTCTCACAATCAGAAGATTACCTTCCAAGGAGAGGCCGACGAAGCGGTAAGTTAGCTTAGCATGTTTTGGACGATGGGCCCCTGAATGACGAATGTACTGTGCTTTTGCAGCCGGACACAATCACCGGGGACATCATCTTCGTTTTGCAACAGAAGGAGCATCCCAAGTTCAAGAGAAAGGGCGACGATCTCTTTCTGGAGCACAGCCTCTCTTTGCTGGATGCTCTCTGCGGTTTCCAGTTCACCATCACTCACCTCGACGGCAGGCAACTCCTCGTCAAGTCGAGACCGGGCGAGATTATCAAGCCAGGTATGCAAATCACTTGGTGTAGCTCTTGGGCTTCTCTAAACGTATGTCTCCTCTCTTTCAGGCCAATTCAAGGCTATCAACGATGAAGGGATGCCTCACCACCAGAGACCCTTCATGAAGGGAACCCTGTACATCCACTTCTCGGTCGACTTCCCCGAGTCTGGGAGCCTCACTCCGGAGCAATGCAAGGCTTTGGAAGCAGTGCTGCCGCCGCGGCCGTCGAGCCAGCTGACGGAGATGGAGCTGGACGAGTGCGAGGAGACTACGCTCCACGACGTGAATCTGGAGGAGGAGATGCGGAAGAAGCAGCAGCAGCAGCAACAGGAAGCGTACGACGAGGACGACGAACCGGCTGGACCAAGAGTCCAGTGCGCTCAGCAGTGAGAAGGATATGATCGAGATCCCCCGTGATAAAAAAGATTTGGGTCTCTATGTCGTAGAGAACCATTTTGCGAATATACTTCATTTTTTATTTAGTATGATCAATGAAGTTGAGAGACCAACTTGGGCTACTCCGTTGTAGTGTTTTGATTTGTTGTCGTGTTTTGTCACTTAAAAAGAGATTGCGAAGAGACACTTGGGGAGAGCAATGGCTGTTGATGATGGAAGCCCGGAAGTGCCATGGAAGACTAGCATTGCTTCTAGTAGTGATGGTAGGAATAGGAAAGAAGCTTTGGATGGGAGCCCGGAAATGTTATGGAAGACTAATAGTGTTTCTAGTAGTGGTAATAGGAATAGGAAAGAAGCTCTAGATGCCTTCTACGAGCAAATGGCTTGGCAGCAGGATCTCACGCTCAAGGACTTGGTTTTGAGCGAAACTCCGTTGAATCCAGCCCCTGGAGCTCCACCTCCAAAAACTCCAAGTCCAGTAGCTCCAATTCGTTCAGCTCCAAATCTTTCTCCAGCTCCAGCTCCAGTTCCAGTTCCAGTGAGTCCTCCCAAGATGGCGACTGTGTACGAGGAAGTGGAGTGTGAGGAGCGGCAATCGCCTCGAAAGAGTTCCACTGTGGGAGAGCTGCTTGGAAATAGAGAGGACTATATTGTGTTGTCTGGGAGATCTAGAGCTCCATCTCGGCCCCGGGTAGTCCGGACGGAGCTATGTGGGTTTTTTCCACCTAGGACTCTACCTCCGACTGGGAATCGAAACGTTGACAGCCAACAGTGTACCAAGTGTGGGGAGAGGCCACTGTGGTTGAAAACGAGGTGTCTGGTAAGTGTGGCCGTGTGTATGTGATGAGATTATCCTTGGATGGAATTCTAGTTTGATCGATGGTTCTTTCTTCCAGGTTTGTGGTAAGCTATATTGTAGGAAGTGTGTGGACAAGGGAATGGGTGACCAGGTGGATGGACCAAAGTGCGTAAAGTGTATTGGCTATAGGCCAAACGAAAGGTTTGGTTTTCTGGGAGCTTTGGATCGTGAAATTTCTATCATTCTTGTTGCAGATATCTGGAGAAGAAGGCCAGCACTTGGAAACAATCGCTCAAACTCGTCACCCAAAACCTGGGTTCTCTCAAGAAGACGCAACAAATGGCCCCCAAGAACAGCGGCGGTGATCACGGTGGAAACATAAAGACAAGGAAAATCAATGTACGGTGACAAACATTTGGAGCTAGCTAACTCTTAGTCAACCGCGCCGTATCAAAGCGGTCGAATATACCCTCATGCATAAGTTAAAAGATCTCATCATCGTGCATCATGCTATAATGCACGCCATGTTGCACGCAGATTCAGACGTGGCAGCTTGCTATTGGTCCATTTGGGGTATGTCCGGGCCCCACGGCCAGCCGTCCACGTGTAACAGATCCGACGGCCCAGGGTTGAGAATCTTTGCGCTTCCCTCCTCCCTCCGAGTGCGTAGTTACTAGTGGTATAGCTAGCCAGAGTATGAGAGAGGAGGGCAATGGACGGTACTTTTGCTGTTCTTGTTGCCCCGGGGCGAGGGCACGGCGGCAGCGAGGAGCAATTCGGTGCGATGGCGCCGTGGTGTTCTTGGCGCGCGGAGTGAGCGCCGCTCGCTGGACCGAGTGTTTTTGGCGATGGATCCATCGGCAGGGTAGGGCTCTAGGTATTTCGGGGTTGCCATTTTTTTAGAGGAGGCAATGCCTATTCTTGTCGTGGAATGAGTGTAGAGGAATTGCCGGGCTTTTGATTGATCTCCTCCTTGCTCCAGGGAGCGATCGGGGTGAGGAATTTTGGGAAAGGATGCGATGAGTACCATAAAGCTGGGGGCAAATGCCAATCTCTCGGAGGCGAAAGGCCGCTCTTGGTTCGTGGCATTGAGATTTTCGTTTGTGGATGGTCTTGATTTCTCGGGTTTTAGGTGCGTGGCGACGGAGCTACAAAGTGACATCGTGGTGGAGGTGAAAGATGTGAGGTTCCATCTTCACAAGGTATTCTTTTCTTGTTTCTTTCTCTTGGGCGATGAAAGCTTACATTGCTTGCAACCAAAGTTTCCACTGCTTTCTAGGAGCGGCCTTCTCAACCGCTTGGTGTTTGAGTCCCGGGACACGCAAAAGAACCGGATACGACTGGACGAAGTTCCCGGCGGCCCCGAGGCGTTCGAGCTGGCAGCAAAGTTCTGCTATGGAATGCCCGTCGACATGGACGCCTCCAACGTGGCGGCGCTGTGGTGTGCCGCGGTTCACCTGGAGATGACGGAGGATCTGGAGGACGGGAACCTCGTGTCCAAGGCCGAGGCTTTTTTCAACACCGTCGTCTTGGGATCGTGGAAGGACTCGGTGACAGTGTTGCTGAGCTGCGGAAAAATTCACGCCTGGGCCGAGAGGCTGATGATCGTCCAGAGGTGCACGGAATCCATAGCATGGAAGGCTTGCACAGATCCGCGGGGTGTCCGGAGTAGTCACGGCAGTAGGATGGGATCGAGAGCTCAGAGCCCGAGCAGGAGGAGCATGGATCTGAGTAGCAGCAACAAACAGGAGCTCATGAAAGAGTGGTGGTTTGACGATCTTCTCAAGCTTCCAGTTGACTATTTCAAAAAGGTGATGGCCGCGATACGGGTGAAAGGGATGAAGCTGGAGCTGATTGCTGGTGCGGTCGCGCTCTACGCTTTGAGCTGGCTTCCCCGGCGCTCCGAGATCGAGTACGACCAGCATTCGTTTCGAGGCAAAGGAAGGCTTCTCCTGGAACAGGTCCTGAGCATGCTTCCTCGGGGGAAGGACTTGGTTCCCAGCCGGTTTCTCATGCACTTGATCCGGATGGCGCACCTCCTGGAGGCCGACTTGCCTTGCAAGATCGACCTCGAGCAGCGCGCAGGTACGCAGCTGGACAGCGCAGCATTGAGCGACTTGCTCGTGCCGGCGCTCGACGCGAGCAGCTGCTGTGGACTCAAGGTTGACGTTGATCTAGTGCAGAGGCTCGTCGAGCACTTTGTGAGGCAAGACGAGATCGTCACGAGCAACTATGGGAGCGGCAACTCGGTGGTGCTGGATCATCGAGTGAGGGTGGCGACTCTGGTGGACAATTACCTGGCCGAGATCTCGCAGGACAGGAACTTGAGCGTAGCGAGGTTCAAGGCTCTCGCTGAGGCTCTCCCGGACTCTTACCGCGCTTCGCACGATTATCTCTACACCGCCATCAATATCTTCCTCAAGGTGGAGTGCCAGCTCCATAGCTCTTGTGACTTACGAAAACCTTGTGACTTTGCAGGTCCATCCGGAGCTCAAGGACGAAGAACGCAAGGATCTGTGCCAGCTTCTGGACTGTAAGCGGCTGTCACTCCATTCCTCGATGCACGCCGCGCAGAACGAGCGCCTCCCGCTGCGAACCGTGATGCAGATCCTCTTTTTCGAGCACCTCAAGCTCAAGAACAGCAGCCAGGCGAATCAGAAGCTGCCGATGGAGGTTCCCAAGATCGAGGGGGGAGGAACCGCGGCGCTCCAGCAGGAGATCCGGACGATCCGGTGCGAGCTGGAGCAAATGAAGGCCGACTTCTCCGAGTTCCAGAACCACTTCCGGAGCCTCAAGCTCGAGAAACAAAACAGCGATGTCAGGTCCAAGCTTAAGAAATTGGGTGTAAGGATCTACTGACGAGAGGAAGAATATAAAAGAGAAAAACGTTCGTCTCTCATCTCTTTCTTTACGTTCATATCTTCTGGGCATCCACGTAGACATCCCGCTTGTTTCGTTTAAAACAGCTCCACGCGCTCTGGGCCGTCAGATTGATCTCTTGCGCCTTGAGAGCCGTCGATCTCTCCCGTTCGCACGTGAAAACCACATGGACTCGAGGCTGCTAGCCGGGAATTTTCGCTGCTAGCTAGCGCTAGGGTTCTTGCGCTGGAGGGAGAGAAAAGGTAATATTTGTCCGCTACCGCTGACGCTACCGAGCATTGTCTCTCGTCTTTGTGGACGTAGGTTTGTGAAATTCCTGCGCCGCCTCGACGATCGAATGCCGAAGGGTGAAACCGCGACGATCGCCGATGATAGCGATCCAGGGAAGAGCAAGAGCTGCCAGGAAGATCCTTCTCTTGCTCCTCCTCCTCGGGATCCTCCTCATCCATCGCCTCCTCTCCCGGCGGTGGCGCTGGCCGATCTGGAGAAGGATCTCTCGTGTCCAGTATGTTTCCAGACGTTGAGAGATCCATTTCTCACGGCTTGCGGACACAGCTTTTGCTACTCGTGTGTTTCGACGCACTTGAACGGGAGGAGTAGCTGCCCTTGCTGCTCCAGCTACCTCACCACGAAGCTCATGTATCCCAACGTTCTTCTCGGGAAGGTCTGGAATTTTCTAGAGGTTTCCTAGATTCTCACGAGATTTCATGCCTTTGGCTTGTTATGATCCAGGTCGTGAGAGAGCTCCAGACACTAAAATCTCTGACTCGAGGTTCTCCCACAGAGAACTTACGAGTCGCTCTCCAGCATGTCGGTGGCTGAACTTTTCTCGTACCGTTTTCACTTTTCCCACTTTACTTTTGTCCCTTTTGTTTTTACAGGGAGCTCATGATATGTCGCTCAAGGAAATCGACTTTCTGCTCAACCTTCTCTCGGATAGAAAGATGAAGGCACAACACAGAGAGGCCGAGGAGAATATGGATTATTTGCTTGAGTTTTTCCACGAGTTGAAAAGGCGAAAGCAACTTGAACTTGACAAGGTCAGTAAGTGTGATGCTTTTCGAAATAACGATTTGGGCTTTTATTGATCTCTGAATGCAGGTGAAGGAAGATATGAGAGCCTTGAAGAATGACTTGCTGTCGCTGAGACAAGAAAGAAGCCAACTCCAGCAACAGAAGAAATCGTATCTGACAGCATTTTCTGGAGCTAAAATGTCTGCGAGCTCAACGAGCTCTGGAATTTCTCAGAATTCTGTTGCCAAGTTGCTGCAGCCGACTCCTAAAAGAAGGAAAGCCATGGTTCTAATTGAGGTAAAGCGTCAAAGTGTTGTGACGAACTATTTGATATTTTATACTCCGCCATTTGTTGCAGCAATATGACCTGTTTCGAGAAATCTACATAGACGAGATTAGACGTTGCCAATCCAGAGGCAGTTATGGTTCTGGATTAGACACCTTTCGCTCCGTTGTTTCAGGATTTTGTCGCTATAGGTATGATTTCTCAGTGTACCTCAAGGCATTCCAAGAACTGACAATGCTGCAGAAAACTACATGTACTATCGGAAACTCAATCAGGAGGTCTGTCAAATTCCTCAAACATCGTATCTGGGTATGCCGTTGTGCATTTTCTGAAGCTCACATCTCAAGCGCAAGCATTCTGTGCAGCCTCGATTTTGATCCCGGTGACGAGTTCTTTGTAACAGCGAGTGTCTCGGGATATTTGCGGGTGTTCGAGTTTCCGAAGGTAAATATGAGAATCTTGCAATGGGGTAAACACAAGGGCTTAACATCTGTAGGCTGTGAGATGGTCCCTTGTCGTGTGGAATCCAAGCCTTGAGATACAAACAGGTAAGAAGCTAAGTTGTGTGAGCTGGGACAAGTTTTCCAAAAGCTGCGTCGCTACTAGCGATTACGACGGCATCATAAAGATCTGGGATATTAGTGCGTGCCAAGTAAGTAAAAGAATGGGGTCCTATCGATCGGCTCTGATATAAAAACCATTTCATTCAGAATACAGTCAATTATGACGAGCACGAAAGGCGGATATGGAGTGTTGATTTCTCGCCAATGGAGCCGTCGCGGTTAGTCTCTGGAGGCGACGACGGCAAAGTTAGAAACAATTACTTCTTTTTTTACAGGATGATTTGGGTCAATCTCCCTTGCAGGTTAAGCTATGGAGCAAGGAGCTCAAGACGAGTGTTCTGACAGTCGAGGTTAAGGCAAACATTTGCTCGGTGACGTTCAATCCTATCTCGAGTAATTTAGTTGGGGTCCGTTTTTTTTCTTTCATATCTCTCTTCTGTGTTTGCTGTTAACTTCGCTGAAAATTTCAGGCAGGATCAGCGGACCACTGCATTTATTACTACGATTTACGTCAGACAAAGTGCCCCTTGCATTTGTTCAAGGGCCATGAAAAGGCCGTCTCGTACGTCAAGTTTACGCCATCAAACGAGATGGTTTCCGCCTCTACTGACGGTACGCTTCGGCTATGGAGCCTCGAAAGCTGGAATACCGTAAGCATCAATGAGATCTGATCAATGCGACGCTGATATACAATCATCTCAGACACTGATGTTTATCGATTATCTGCTTGCAGCTCCAGGTGTATAGAGGTCATACGAACGAAAAGAACTTTGTCGGGCTGTCTGTCACTTCTGATTACATCGCCTGTGGGAGCGAGACAAACGAGGTCTATGTTTACCACAAGGTAAGCCTGGTTTTTAGAGCTGCATTGTCAAGACGAAGTAGAACAAATCTCAATGGTGATGTTTCAGGGGATTCCAAAGCCGGCACTCAGCCATTTATTTGCGAGAAAGGACGCAGCTGACGATGATACACGACCGTTTGTCAGCGCCGTCTGCTGGAGGAGGAGTGATAGCCACACCATGCTGGCGGCAAGCAGCCAGGGGGAGATCAGAGCTCTCATGCTGGCGTCTTGAGACGAAGAAGGAGAGGGGCGCGAGAGAAGCTCACTTTCGAGCTTTAAAAGCTCGTTAAAGGCGCGAGTATGGAGTACCAGGTCCGCCAGTTTATCTCTTTCCATCTATCTCAAAGCGGTACGCTGTCCAACGGGAAATCACATCTCAGATGGCTTTCTTTTTTATCCTGTGGCGAGAGAGTTTAAAGTACTTCCCGGCAGCAACATAGGTACGTGATGCCAGGGCCAGCAAAGTGCTAAAGCCTAGATCTCCTCCTTTTCTTTCGTGGCAAGTGTCCCAGGAACATATGAAAAGTGGAGGCTTTTAAGCACTCCACGGACCAAGCGATCTCCTCGTGAACGCAAGGTACCTTGAAAATCTCCTTGATTCGTTGCCACTTTCTTCTCTTATTTATTTCCTCCCCAGGATGGAACAATCGTGATCCCGTGATCAAGCCAGAAAGATTGAAAAGGCCAAAAGTTGGAGCTCCGCTCCATGGATGAAGCAATGCCACTCTTTTATATCGTACGGACGAAGGAATGGTGATTAGCCAGAAAAATATCTCGAGCCACATGACAAAAACGGTGGAATATTCGCCGCCCCCCCTCTCTCTCTCTCTCTCTCTCTCTCTCCCATTTTTCTCTCTCGCCATGCAAGACGAAGAGGCGGAGGAAGAAGGGAAAGAATGGCGGCCCAGCTGGGCAGGGCGGCGCTTTCGGCCGATTCGCGGAGGACGGAAGCGGCCAGCGAAATGGTATGGCCGCCGCGCCGCTGCTGCTGCTAGCGATGGATTGATTGAGCGAGTGATTGATTGATTGCAATGTGGGCTTCCTGGCGCTCCCTGGCTGCCTGGCCGCTGCGTAATTTCTCGTCGCTTGGGCGGTAGCGATCGAAAGGGTGAGCGATGGGCAGCGTCAGAGAGAATTAGGTCTCTTTCTCTTTGCGATAGCGTTTTTCCTTTTCTCTCTGGGCCTTTGGAAGCATTTTCCTTGTTTGCGTGTGTGTGTGTTTGTTTGTGTGTGTTTTGTTTTTTTTTTTTTTTTTGTTTTCTCCTCTTGCCTTTAGACTCTGCGTTCTTACACTCTGTGCGTGTGGCATTGAGAATTTTTGTCCATTTGTTTGGTACTTCCTGTTCTTCCGTTCTGCTGTGCACGGGGTTCTTAAATTCTTTGGCTCCACACATCTTTGGTTGCCGTGATTTTAGCGAACTTCTTCTCGTTTGAAAAAAAAGAAGAGCTTTGTTTTCTTGTTTCTATCGACCTCATGCTTACTTGCGATGTGTTTAACTCGGACTTTTCCTTTTTGCTGTGTCCAGGAGCATTACGGAACTTAGATGATGAGTAGTGGGCATTCCAGTGGTGTCCAGACTCAGCTCGAGAATTACGGAGGTTAGTACATTGTAGGCTAGAGTACATATAGTGGGCCGGATGGCATAGGATAGAATTCTAGGCTCGTGGATCTGGAGGCTCCCGGATTGTTTTTTTCTCTCCAGTTTCCTCTCGGACTGGAGATTTGAGCAGGGGGGTGTCTAGAATGTAGATTCTACAGGAAGTAGGGGCTAGAGTTTGTCTCGTGATATCCATGCCGCAGCAGGCTTCGCAAACAGCAAAGCCGCTTCCTTCTCCTTCTTCTTCCTCACAAGTGCCAGCGCCGTCTCAGGTACTGCTTCTTTCTGATTTCCTCGAGCTGCTTCGGCCTTTTCATTGATCGGATTCAGCAAAGCGGACGAATTCCATTCTGATATTCGTGAATTTTGATTGGTGTAGTCTCCATCGCCTGCACAGCAGCAGCAGCAGCAGCAGCAAGTACCGCAGGAAGCCTCGCAGCAAACTCAGCAGGCGAATGCTCCAGCTGGAACTGAGAGCTCACCTTCTTCTGCTGCAAACCAAAGTACCGAGGGAAGAAAAATCTCATGCGAAGACATACAATTGGTAGGGACGATCACTTTTGCCCGTGTAATGGTTCTGATGGAACTTTCAGGTACAAAACCTCATTGAAAGGTGCCTTCAGCTGTACATGAATCAAACCGAGGTTATCAACACTCTCTTGAACCAAGCAAAGATCGAGCCTGGTTTTACAAGCCTCGGTACGTCAATGCTTTATTCATTTCCTGCCGAAAATCACGCGCTCTATAACTGTTTCAGTTTGGCAAAAGCTAGAAGAACAAAATCCAGATTTTTTCAAGGCTTACTACGCCAGGCTCAAGCTGAAAAAGCACATCATGACTTTCAATCATTTGCTCGAGCAGCAGGTCCATCTGATGCAAAAGATGCGAATTATTCCAACAAAAGTTCCAATGCCGCATCCCAGCAATGGCATGCACCACGCAAGTAAGCCTCCGGGTTGAATTCAAGCTGGTCACTGACGTATACTTACGTTGCAAACATGAAGTGGGACAGGTGCCGATGGGCTATCCAGTTCCTCCACTGACTGGTGATATGCCCGCTCCACCAATGCCTATAGTAACCGGTGGCAATCCACTAGCTGAGAACTTTCACGAGAGTCCAGGATCCAGGTAGCTTTCGGGTTTAAGAATCCTAGCAGGTCGTTTGATACGTTTCTTTCTTGCAGTGCAATGGATTCAATCATGCAAACAGGCGATATTCCCGGTTCGGGAGGTGCCAACGGCGCAAACTTCCCGTTTGGAGGCATTACTGATATGTCCGGGATGGTTTTGGACACGCCGTTTGTGTCGCATGAGCCTCACTCTCACGAGCACAACTCTCAGAATGGGATTGTGTCGTTTGACGGTGGAGAAGAAGATGGCCACAACTCAAGGGAGTCGCTTGGAACACTTGGCCATCTTCCGAGGAACTTTAGCTTGTCGGATCTCGCCGCGGAGCTGGGAGCGAGTTCTGGTACGTAGATATGTTTCTTTTCTCCTCGGTTTTGAGGTGCGCTGTTGATCCAGATCTAGGAGCGCTTGGAGGCTACTCTTCCCCGTTCATGAGCCCCGAGACTGAGTCATATTTGCAATCTCCCGACAAGCACGATATCGGTGAGCTCCAGCCTTTTTCTCTTTCGTTCCTAAACTCGTTTGCCTGTGCAGCAAATTGCGTCTTTTCAGAGGATGACAAGCTACTGGATAGTTTGGACTTTGGAGATTTGAAGTAGCCGACGTGTTGCTCCGATTGCGGAGGACCACCAAGTAGATGATTTGATGTGCGATTTTTTTGTGCCAGAGCGATTGAGAACCAGGACCAGAGGTCGGTTTTTTTTTCGCATTTTGGCATTCCCAACTTTCCAAAGAGGTCAAATCCTTACGTCGCAAAGTTGTCATGGTTTTATTCTTTGTCCTTGTTTTATTCTGTTGGATAGCTTGACAGGGTTAGAACACTGTCAAACCCGCGCAGCTAAGAAAAACAAAAGCAAAAGATTTGCGGGGTAAGAGACTTTACACTGTGGATTTTGTTTATAAGTTTGTTGCTCAGGGTGTGTAAGCTGGAGCAACTTTCAACTCCTTTGGAGGTGGAGAATGCGTGACTGGCCTGATGGCGGTCTGTAGAGCCGAGTTGTTTCGAAGCAGGAGGTTCGCCTTGCTCTTGGCGATGACCCTGCTCAGCCCAGGCCGGACATTCTCCGCGAACTTGATCACAAGGAAGAAGAGCAGCCTGTAGGCGAGGATCATCAGGAAGATGATGCCGAGGTTCCACCACTTGGACCTCGCCATGTTGATCTGGTACACGTCCTCGAGCACAAACTCCCCTGGAATCGTTGGCAGGCCGGGAACCTTGTTCCCGAATTCCAGGCCCCGGAAGTCGTTCTCGTACATTCCCTGGATGGAGAGAAACGGAGTTAAAAAGTAGCGATCTTCGCAGAAAACCTTCCCACCTGGAGCGAATACATGTGGAAGCCAATGTACGACATAGGATACTTCCAGAAAAACTTGGGGAGGTCATCCGGGAGCCTGAAGAATCCGGCAACGAGCAAGAACACTCCCTGTAAATTCCAGCGGGCGTTTGAGCACGTAAACGAAACATATTTATGGATGAGTACCTGGATTCCGGCTCCGGTGATAATTCCCATGAGAAAGTTTGGGACCAGGCTCGCCACAGTCATCATGAGGGACTCCACCGCCGCAACCGAGGCGAAGAGGTTGAGCACGAAGTAGAAAAAGTGATCGACTCCAGGGTGGAGCTTGACCATGTTGTAACTTATGCCGCCGGAGACAAGCGCGATGAGGAGTAGGAATGGTAACGAAGAGAGCGTGTTGCCGATGATAAACGCCGCCACGCCGTAGTGTCCATTCAAGCGCTCCCTGCTAAACACCTGGAGAAGAAGAAACTATCAGTGTTAAAAGCTTAACGCTTCCTTACTTTGATGTCTTCCACGAACGATGGAAACCCTCCGATGGACATGAAAGTGAGGAATCCACCAACGTAAGACATGCAAGCGGCTCTTGCCTAGCAAAACAAAAAGGTTTCCAGGAGTTCATAAGTTGAAAGATGAAAAACTTATGTTGGAGACTTACTGAGATGGAGCCGTAGTCAGTGCCGATTCTAAAGTAGAGTGTACCAATTCCGATGTTGAGGATGACGTAAATGGCGAGACGAAGCCAATAGTATCCCATGTCGCGCGTCATGTTTTTGAAAGATCGCAGGGTCAGCGTCGCAGCCTGCATGAAGAAGCTGGCGTGACTTCCTGTCGACTGGAGAACCACGCCTTTCTGGAAGCGAAGACAGCGAAAAGGTTAGCACTTGATCGAGAAAACACGAGCGTTGACAAAAACAGGCATTTATCTTTTCCTGGTGTTGCTTACAGTTTGGGACACCTCGTGGACTTTGGCCGCCATCATCATCGCGTACCCAGACGATTGGAAGGCCTCGACGAGGATGGCAATGACTTTGCTCGTGGAGACCCTGTCGAGAGGATCAGCGTACTCTAGATCCTGGAAAGATTGGAATCATAAGTTTTGGTGAGAGCTTTGGTCGATAAGTGATAAACCTTGAGTTTGAGTGCTCCTCTGAGAGTTGCCTGGACCCTGTCAAAGTCAGCGTTCACGGCCCGCAAGTAGTGGTCGGATGGATTCCGGAGCTCTGGACAAGGAAAACCGGCATCTGCGAAGAACTGAGATAAGAACAAAAAATGAGGTCAGCGGTCAGCTTTCCAGAAAAAAGAACTGTGTAAGTCCACCTCTCGAGCTCCATATCCATTGCCAAAGTAGATCAATTTTCCCTGAGAGAGCAAGCACAGATTGTCGAAGAGCTCGAAGACTTCGCTGCTGGGCTGGTGAATGGAAGCAATCACCGTCCGGCCATCTCGTGCCAGATTCTTGAGAGTTTGCGTCACGAAAAACGCTGAAGCACTGCACAAAGTTCAAGAAAAGATCATAGTGATTGATAAATCTTAACAATCGAGAGAAGTTGAACTGTTGACATGAACTTACCTGTCCAATCCACTGGTTGGCTCGTCCAGAAAGAGCAGGCGAGGGCGAGTAAGGATCTCCAGCGCGATGCTCACCCTTCGCTTCTCTCCGCCGCTCAGTCCCCTCAAGTGCCAGTTCCCAATCGCCGTGTCGGCCGATTCCTGGAGCCCCATCTCCACAATGGTGCTCTCCACGATCGCCCTCTTCTTGCTCGCCGGCATTCGATCGGGAAGCCGCAGGTTTGCCGAGAAGGCGATGGTTTCTCGCACCGTGAGCGTTCCAATGAGAGTATCATCTTGTGTAACATACGCCTAAGAGAGAGGAAAAAGAAAACTCTTAGTAATCGTAGTAAGTTTTCTTTTGGAAGAACAAGAAAGTGTTCTTCCACCACCATACCGCTACTCCATAAGAGAGCTGCTTCTTTCGACCATTGAGAAAGATCTCTCCCGTGAGAGTGGTGTTCTTAGCGAGTCTGCCTGTCGATCGATCGCAAGAGAAAAAATCAAATAAGATCCTCCCATTTTTTTTGGAAGAACTTACCAGCAAGAGTATCGAGGAGCGTCGACTTGCCCGATCCCGACGGTCCCATGATCGCGGTGATATTCCCCGGCTCGGCATAGCCAGAGAGGCGGTGGAGCAGCACCTGGACCTCGCCCCGGGCATTACTTGCCGTCACAAACAAATCCCTCCACGCCAGCCTCGCCGACACATCCATCGCCTCCGGCACAATCCCACCATCGCCGCCGCCGCCGCCAGGGATCGTCTTCCACAGCGCGTGGCTCAGCGGGCTCAAACCCCCTACTGCCACATTGCTCGATCGCGCAGCGCAAGAATCCATGCCGATCGGTGGCCCGGTCGATCGCGCGCCTTGATTATGCGTGGATCGCTCGATATTTCAACTGATCCTAGCGCTAGCGCTGCTGGGCGGCGATCGTCCCATCCATGGAGAAGGGAATGACAAGAAAGAAGCCTCGAGAAGAGGGAGACCTTGCGCTAACTAAACTACCTCGCCCATAAGTCCCGGGGTTTAGTGGTTTGGCATGTCACGTCCATCCAATCAAGGCTATAACATGGCGGCGCTCAAGGGAGGACGTGTAAGAATGTTCTTCACTCTAGTTTTTTACCGACTTACTTTGATTTTTCTACCTGGATCTTTGACCCGGGGTTTAATTCAGGGTTTTGGATGGACATTAGGTTTCTCTTGAGATAAATAATTTTTTTTTCCCTTTGCTTCTCGCAAGAACCCTAAGCGCCGGGAGACGACGGCGCCTCGCCGCGGGATGAGCAATGGACGATTTCAGTGATTTCGAGGCCGACGGTGGATTCAAGCGCAAGCGCCTGCTCGTAGGAGATACTGTCGAGGTGAGTGAAGATCTTCCGGCTTCCTTGCTGCAGTGCTGTGCTCCGTCTGTGCTTGGTCGAGCCGAACCCTGCGAATTCTCGCAGATCACTGCTTCCTTGTGTCTTGCTGTGCTCGAGTGCTGCTGCCCGATTTACATTTTTCTTTTCCTTTTGCTCAGCTCCTTGTCTTGGAGCTACTGGCTTCTACAAATTGCTGTGAGTTTTAAGCAAGAGGACTAATGTGATCTTGGCTTCCAGGTCTTGCAAGTTCTCGAGACATTGCGAGGTGCTTGGGTCCCGGCCGAGGTGGTACAAGTGAGGCCAGGACGCCGTGTTGTGAGGTACGAGGACAATGCCGAAGACTTAGAGTCCATTCCAATCTCCGAGTGCATAGATGGCGAAGACGTGGTGCCACCCCACAAGCGAGTCCGCTTGCGTATCAGGCCAGTGCCGCAGGCCCTCTCTTCCACCATCTCGCTGTGGAAGAAGGGGACTTATGTGGATGCTTTCCACAGGGAGGCATGGTGGGAGGCAATTCTTCTGCAAGACACGTCCGGCCACGACTCAACGGTGCTCACCAGAGTTTTCTCTCCGCCGGAAGGGTTTGAGCTCCAGGTGCCGCTGGGAAGGCTCAGGATCTCGCAGGAGTGGGACGAGTGGACAAACTCTTGGTATGTCCGGGGTCAGATGGATCACAGGCTTGAGAAGTGCACGGTGGTGAGGAAGGAGGCCGATCTCGAGGAGAATGTTTCGGTTGCTTCGAAGAGGAAAATGTTGCTTGCTACTGGCTCCATCCAGGCTGCCGACACGCCGCCCAAGCATCCCGTGGTTGTGGAGTCACACCTCGTCCAAGCGATGCCGATGCCGATCCCGATCCAGAGGAAGAAGTTTACCATGGCTCCAAGGATAAGTTGCCGCTCAAAGTCCACCTCCGATGATGAGGAGGATTTTTCGGAGGAAAGCGAAGGCAGCAGGGACAGTGATGCTGTTACCCCGGTGTCTCGGAGCAGGAACGCATCGAAAGCTTCAACGGACAGCATAAAAGGCATTCTGATGAACTCGGGATGGGTGCTCAACTCCAAACTTCGTCCCGGGACGCAGAGGAAGGATACGTTCTATCTGTCGCCGGAGGGCAAGTGTTACAGAACGCTCCCTGCGGCATGCAAGGAATGGAGTCGGACGCATCCCCTTTGCAAAAGAACTTCGCAGCTCGAGCTCCTGATGCACGACAAGGCGAAGAAGTGTTCTGACAGCTTTGAATTGCCTGTGGATGACAACGGCAAGCCAAAGAAAAGAAAGGTGACGCTGGACACACCAGACAGCGTGAAGAGGAGAAAGCACGACCTGATGGGTGCGTCCGAAAGCCTGAGACCAAATAACGTATCGAAAATGAAGGACAAGAACCTCCGTGCCCGGATGGAGATTGTTCTTCACGACGTGACCAAGTACGAGGCGAAACGAACTATCTTATCCTGGTTATTAGAGACGAAGATGCTTCACGAGTTTCAGAAGGTTTCGTATGTGGACAAGAAGACTAGACAGGTCCTGCTGGAGGGGATTGTGAGGTTCGAAGGCATTGTCTGCTCTTGCTGCAAGAAGCTGTGGAGCCTTTCCGGTTTTGAAGCTCATTCTGGGACTAGTCAGCGACGAGCTTGTGCGAGCATCTTCAATAACAAAGGGGAGTCACTTTTGGATCTACAGGTGCAGGCATGGGAATTGCTAGACTCAAAAGTAAACCCGAAGGAAAACGTCAAGGCAGCTCCGTCTGATGAGAATGATGATGCCTGTGGCGTCTGTGGCGATGGAGGACGGCTTATTTGCTGCGATCATTGTCCATCCACTTATCATTTAAGCTGCTTGCTGCTTAAGGTATGACGACTCTCTAGACGCTGTTTTTTTTTTTTTTTTTTTTTTTTTTTTTTTTCTCATTTACTTGTTTTGGTGCAGGAACTCCCTGAAGGCGAATGGTTCTGTCCTAGTTGTCGGTGTGCGATATGTGGTGGCAGCGAGTACAACGCAGATGGAAGTTCTTTCAACGAAATGACCGTTCTTCTCTGTGATCAATGTGAACGTGAATGTAAGTGCTTTCAAATTCTACTGGGTTCGATTGACAATATACTTGTTTCAGACCATGTTTCTTGCTTATATTCAAGGGGCATGGCAAAAATGACCAGCTGCCCGGATGATTCTTGGTTTTGTGGGGATCACTGTGATAAGGTGAAGCTACACAATCATGCTTTCAACTGACGGAACTATCATTTTCTACCAGATCTTTGAAGGACTTCGTAAGCTCGTGGGCATTTCCAACACCATTGGAGAAGGACTTTCCTGGACGCTGCTGCGGTCCGGTGAAGACGATCTACCGTCAGCCAGTAGCATGAACCGGGAGCAAATGGCTGAACACCGAAGTAAGCTTGCTGTTGCACTTGGCGTCATGCAAGAATGTTTTTTGCCCATGGTGGATCCTCGGACAAAGATTGACCTTGTCACTCACATACTTTACAACCGGGGGTATACTTGATCTTGCATGCTTGTATTGTGTCTTGTACTCAAGATTGTTTTTTTTTTTTTTTTTTCTGCAGCAAGGCCGAGGTTAATCGCTTAAATTTTCGAGGATTTTACACTGTTGTCTTGGAAAAAGACGACGAAGTTATTTCTGTCGCTTCAATTCGGTGAGTCTCGTGTATTCTTCGCTAATGAACCTCACGATTGGTTTGCAGGATACATGGAGGACTCCTCGCAGAAATGCCCCTCATCGGAACCAGATTTCATCATCGAAGGCAAGGCATGTGTCGTCGCTTGGTGCGGGCAATCGAGGGGGTAATCTTTGCTGCTTTCCCAGAGTTTTTTCGCTGACATCAATTTTCCAGCTCCTACAAAGGCTAGGAATTCGAAGTTTCGTGCTACCGGCTGTACCAGAGCTTCTTCACACTTGGAAAAACGCCTTTGGATTCCAGGAGATGGCCCCAACCCAAAGGCTTGAGCTTGTGAAGCTGAGTGTTGTATCCTTTCCCGGGGTGACTTTGTTGCAAAAGCCACTACAGTCCTCAGGTAAACTTTTGATGCATTTCTGCTCTTTTGCTGACCATAAACTATTTGCAGAGCTTTCCGATACCGATGTGGACTGGCTCACGCAAGGAGAATTCGATCCTGTTGATACTTCTTATCCGTAAGGCTACTTCTAATAGTTTGAAATCGATTGATAGTCTTTACCTGCGCAGAAAATCGGTGCAAGATAAAGTTTTGGCTGTTACTGTATGTAAAGAATCTATGGCGTGCACTTCGGTCGCGGACGATCCTGCTCCTCTAGCAGTGCTTCCTCGCAAGCTTGTCATTGGCGGGGATGCGTCTCTGATCGCGGGCCTCCAGACGGTGGACAGCGGCGTTACATTGTTGTCCAGCTTTGTCAAGAACTTTGGTAAGGATAGCTTTGGAGCAAAATTGCCTGTCAAGCTGAATGATTCTGGTAAGCTTCTTCTTCGTCTTCCAGTTTGCTGATAAGCTGTTTTGTTTTTTTTTGTTTTCCAAATAGGAGATAAGAAGAGTTCACTCCAGCTGACGCTCTCATCGAAGGATTGTGTTTATGTGCCGCTGGATGAGCCACCGCAAGCATTGTGGACGTGGGAAGAGCCTGTGGACACTCGCATTTTTTGATAGACAATCAGAGCGAAAAAAAAATTCTCTCCAGTTGTGGTGATGCCCGAAAGCTGGGAAACTAACGAGCAAAGCTTCACTCCTCTCGTTTGAGATTGAGAAAATCCGCAGGTGGTAGCTTTGGAAACTTCCCTGTACAAAACCATTCAAAATTCTTACAATGTGAACCCATCGCATTAATTTATTGGGTTCCAATCTCACATATGAGCTTAAAGAATATGAGTAGTAGAATACAACGATATCATGCTCTTCTACTTTTTCTATTTGAATACCTGCATCAAGGACTGCTGCCACGATCTTATTCTTGTTGATTTGTAATTGTATGGATCCACCCTTGCGATCTTATTCAGTTCATCCCGGGTCTTACTCATTAGCACTACCTTAATCTTGTCATTATCTTATTCTTGTTGCCGTTCTGTGCAATCTCGTTCAGCTCATATCGGGTCTTACTAACTAGCTGTTTAGCTTTGCTTTCTGGTAGCCACCTTTCATTGTTGCTTGACTGCAGCAGCCTTTTTCCCCTTAATATACTCACCTCTCTTCAGCGAGACATCTTTTAGAAGCTTCAGCACCTCCTTGGATGGAACTCTGTTTGCAAATGCGTGATCCATGCTCACCATGCAGCTCCTGTGCTCTAGCTGATGTAGTTGCCCGTTTGCAAACTGCATTGCAGTTGCCTGCCCGAAATCCCCAGACCAGGACCACGAAAAGCAATACAAAATGCAATTGCCACTTCTCCAGTATCCAGCCCTGGATGTTGGACATGAACTGTTCTTCTGAAGATATAGCTCCCTTCTTCTGAAACTCCTCGGTGTAGAGCAGGCATGAACCGGCAACAGAAGACACCATCTTCGAGAACGAAACTTGCGTCTATGCGTGCTATATTCTGATTGCCTTTCTCGTTACTTGCGCCCAGTAAATTTAGCGCTCTTCGTTGTTGTAAAAGAGTTGCACAGTTCTTCCATATCAAGCTTTATATCCCCATCAAATGCGAGCCGCTAAGCATTCCTTTTTTATTCATATCAATGAATTACTTTATCTAAGATGGTGGTGGATTAATTCAAATTCCAAAAGCAATATAAATGAAAATAGCTTATAACAAGAGAAAAAACAGATTAGTCCGCAAGTTCGAATCCCACTCTCAACACTCGCTCATGTTTCTTTATTTGAATTATTGGAACGTTGAAGGAATGCATGCTAGGGTTTATCGGGGATTTTCCAGCAGCCATGGTGGCGCGGCGATCCAAGGCTCCGGTTCCGGCAGCGCCAAGTATGTTTCGCACTGCTATGGTAATCTTAGTTCTTCTGTCTTGTTTCGTTTGTGCAAAAAGGCAAACGCTTGTCCATCGCGAAAAAAAGTGGAAATGTGAAGAACAAAGCATCAGTGCCGACTAGTGCAACGCCTCCTCGAGTCAAGACACGGAGAAACAAGAATGCTGATCCACCTGGTTAGTGAAAAGAAAGAATTTTTTTTTTTTTTTCAAAAGCCCATTGCGTAGAACTGGAGCCGAGAAAACCATCATCCAGGGGCAAGAAAGCTGTGGAGAATCAAGCGGACAAGAGTGATCAAGGTCACACGAGCAAACGGGGATGCAAGAAAGCGAAAAAACACCCGGAAGGAAAATCATCTCATCCAGGAGAAAATCACAGAAAAAATGTGAAGTCTACAGCCTTGAAACGGGTCCCGAGCCGAGACTTGGAGGTATGCCAGGCTTTTCTTTTTAGTTTCTTTATGGTGTAGTTCTCTCCAGATCGAGCTTTGGAAAACGGGCTTCCATCGCGTTATAGGCGTGGATGAAGCAGGAAGAGGACCTCTCGCTGGTCCTGTCGTTGCTGCTGCTTGCATCATTCCGGAGGACGTCGATATCCAAGGTGCGTAGCTTTTTGTCTCTCAGGAATGATCATTTATCTCCCTCTTATTTTCCCCAGGCATCGATGATAGCAAGAAGCTCACAGCCGAGAAGCGAGAGCAGCTCTACTCGCAAATCACATCCACTCCGGGGGTCCGTTTCTCGGTGAGAGCCTGCCTCTTTATCATCCCAAAAACTTTGGACTGACCGGGAGGAGCTTGTCTATGTGTAAGATTTGCGTTGTGGATGCGCCGAGGATCGACGAGATCAACATCCTTCAGGTAAGTACAAACAGCGTTTCTTTTTTCTTTCTTTGCTAGTGCAATTGGAAGGCGTTTTCAGGCGACAATGGAAGCCATGGAAACTTGCGTGGAAGAACTTACAGGGAACGGACGTGATCATCCGCCATACATACTGATTGATGGAAACAGGATTCCAGGCGGTCTCTCTGGAAAACACGCGAGGAGTGTGGTCAAGGTAATCGTCGTTCTTCGTCAAATGCGAATGTCCTCTTTACACTGGTTGGTTTGTTCGCAGGGCGACGCCGAAAGCCATGTAATCGCCGCTGCGTCCATTTTGGCAAAGGTGACGAGGGACCGGCTAATGGAGGATTACGACAAGTATGGTGGTGCTTACTTACCTCTGACTCTCTTTTTATTTTTATTTTTTTTCTTTTTGTCTTTGGTCGTAGGAGATGGCCGCTTTACGGATTCAAAGACCATAAAGGCTATGGGACTGCGTCACACACGGCGGCATTGCTGAAACACGGCCCTTGTGACATCCATAGACGCTCTTTCGCACCCTTGAGAAATCTGATTCTCGATATGTAAATAGGCAGCTCAAAAAGCTCGGGCGTTTCGCCCGCATTTTTAAGTCAAGAGTATACAAATACAAATTTTCGCTGGCAGACTTCCACCAGTGTTCAGTCGAGTCAAGAAAGACAGTCATGGATGATCGAAGCCCGTGGAACAATAAAACTCGAGGAACAAAACTAGCGAGCAAATGGAGATGTAGGTAAGAGAGCTGGAAAAGTTCGCAGGAACAAACTGAAAAAGGACAGTGGAGAAAGCTTGCAATGTGAAGTCTAAAACCCCGAGTCTTGGATCGGCAGACCGGCTCATCAGCTGAACGCTGAGGAAACGCGAGCAGCTTTTCTCTCGAATCTCACTGTCCGGTTGCAAAGATCTCGGCTTTTAAAACCTGGAAGTAAAAGAGAGATCTTGAGTGATGATAAAACCAGTCCATGTGGGAAAAAATGGCCTACGTGAGACAGAGACATGCCGATAGGACTCCAGACGGTCTACCTGAAAAATCTGTGGTCAAGGTAACTGCAAATGTCAGCAATTGCTTACACGTCTCGGTGCAAGGTGGGATATGTAATAGCAAGGCCCGGTTGATGGCATATCTCGAGTGCTGACGTCTTCTTCTGCTGGCTATACTGTACCGCATCACACACGGCCCCTGAAAACTCAAATTGTCAGCAAGTATGTAAATGATGCTATGTGAGGAAAAGAAGTCGTCACCTTGGAAAAATCTATGGTCTTGCCCGTGGGTGAGTCATGCGCGAGCTAGTGGCAGAAAGGCTGCTCGAGCAGTAGAGCTTATAAGGTCTTTATTGTTTGGCTCCTGTCGTAAGTAGGCCTGTTTGCAATGGCGAGCGTCTGTAGAGGCTCGCTTAACTCGGGGAAAATGCTTTTCAAGAGAAAACGCCACTTGATAGTTATAAGCGTCCATCTGCACGCCCCGATCATATGATTCTCAATGTAAATGAAGAGCAATGCATACATACCCCTTGGTGGGAGTACGTTCCCATTTCCAGCTGCTCACGAGATCAGGCCAAAGCGAGAAATTATCTAGCGTTTGCCCTTTGATTGCATCCATAACCTGTGCAAAATAGACTAGGAGTAAGAACGATGTTTGCTTTGCGGAAACATATTGATCACCTCGTCAGTTTGAATGACATTGCTGTTGTATAGTATTTCTCTGAAATCTGCATCATCGATGGATTTGACCTGTAACAAAAAAAAATGAACATACGTGGACACGCATATGACCTGCTCACCTTGACAGACAAACCGAGGACATCACCAGCTTTAGATTCGTAGACGGCAGCATTGCCAGTGGAGTTTAGAACCTACAACCAAACAAACACAGTCAACGTATTATTAGAATGGTGTAAGCTCCTTACCAGTTCCACTAGCATGTTTGAAGATTGTGACCCGGGAATAGCTGCGTTCTCAAATGTTACTTCTCCTGACTGGCTCTCGATTTTAAAATAATGCACGGCCGCTTGAAACAATCCACCCATAGTTCCCCCAACTTGCAATTGGCCGTGCGCCTACAAGTTACAGTTAAGTTTGGATGATCGTATGCTCTAAGCATATCTTACCTTGTTGTTAACAAGTAGCTCCACTTGAAATGTCGCGAGCTTGCTAAGGGGGTTGATTGTTGCATCGTTCTGCTTAGCACGTAACACGAACTCTTTGATCTGCACAAAGAAGTGAGACAAAGAACAAAGAACGAAGGTCGGCTTACTTTAGCTTGCGCTTGTAATCGTTTCGACGCTTCCACCTTGTTGTCTAGATCACATCCTGCAAACCCAATGCCATTAGTTGACGTCAAAGCTCAACGCCATTGTATCCTCACCTCCAAGTCTTAATATTTCTTTCTTGGCAAGCTCGACCCTTTCGCTCCACTTTTTCTCCGAGTTCTTTAGAACGCTTTCCTGAAGCTTGAATCTTTCCCTGAGATCGCCGATTTCTCCTGACATCGCTTTAACTTTCTCCCCGACAGACGCCTTGAGTTCTATCGATCTGTCCTTGATAAAAATCAACCTCCCGCAAGTGTCGTGATTAGAACCAGCCTCTTTGAATGGTGTTCCTCCAAGGTCCTGTTCGATTGACTGGAGTGCTGCACATAACTCTGTTAAGAGAGGATCCAATTGTGATGCCTGGACTGATAGACTTTGTGCTCTAACGAGAGCCTTGTCCTTCGTGTCCTTTGACGAAAGAAGCTCCTGTTTTATCTTGTCGAGAAGAGCGATATCATCAGACAGCGATCCACCAAAACTTTTCCCGAGTTCCGCAGGAAATAGAGACTGAATCGCTTTCAGATTTTGTCTGATAGTATCCAAGTGCTTTCCAGTAGACTGAGATAACCCCTTGTCGTCGGATCCCCTCTTCTCGGCCTCCGCCAACTTGTTAGCTATCCCGTCCAACTTGGCAACCATTGAGTCCCGTTCCTTCGCCATTCCGTCGAGCTTAGCAACCACTGTGTCCCGTTCTTTCACCATTCCGTCCAGCTTGGTAAGTGTCGAGTCCCGTTCCTTCGACATTCCGTCGAGCTTGGCAGCCACTGTGTCCCGTTCCTTCGACATTCCGTCCAGCTTGGTAACCATTGAGTCCCGTTCCTTAGTCATTCCGTCCAGCTTGGTAGCCATGGAGTCTCGCTCCTTCTTCAAATCCAGGAATTTTGGAACTAAAGTCGATAGTGCAGCAGCCACCTGTCCCAGTTCAGCTACTCCTTTTGCTGCCTTGGCGCTGCCAACCTCTCCAAAGATCGGTTGTAGTTTCAGTATCGACGCCTGAAGAGCACCACATGCATCACTGACTTGTTTCAAGGTGGAATCTAGCTGACTGTCTTTCTTCTGACCCATGGCATTCAGCTCGCTTTCTGCAGCCTTTAATTTACTGCTGGCTGTCTCGCTATCCATCTTCAGTTGTACTACCTTCGCAATGATAATAGGAAGCTCGGCCACTGCATCTGTTCCTTTCTCTGTTTTCTGAAAGATGGCCAGTAACTCCAACAGGTGGCCATGTCCTTTCTTTAGCTTGGATTCCAGGCGAGTCTTCTCGGTGACAAGAGCCTCAAAACATCCCACGATACTTCCAACTTCCTTCTGCTCGTCGAAACCTGAGGTTTTAGTCACTGCAGCTCCAGCAGTTCGCAGAAGGGTGCCATAACTACCGTCTTGCAATGAAGAACTCAGCTTGACAAACAGATCTTGCAGTTGATGAAGCTGTTTGCCGACAGCAGCTTTTTCTTTCTCAACGTGTAAAAGCGCATCTCCAAGTTTATCCTTTTCGAGTTTCAACCTCCTCTGCTTGTTCGTAAGGTCGTCCAAAGATCTTTCCAGTTCTCGTGCCTTTGAAGCGTTCTTTGTTACGGCCACTTCGACGGAAGATTTTTCTTTTTGTAGCATCTAAACACAGCACAAGATTAAATGCTTTCATCGAGGTACAGACATTTACCTGCAGTGATTCCAGTCTCCTTCGAACTTGCTCCCTGATCACTACTAAGTTAGCTGAAAGAACGTCCACTTTCGGATCTGCCCTTTCAAGTCCAAGATCCTCCCTCAATTGCGCAGTCACAGAGCCGCATTTCTCGTGCTCGTACTGTAGAGAGCTTGAAAGTTTTCCCGCAGTATCGGCCTTCAAAAGTGAAAATAGAACGATCAGATTTTGGCCCTTCAAAACTTTCAACTCACCTTGGAAACGAGCAGCTGAATCATCTCTTGAACTTTGTTAAATCCAGCGGCAATTTCGTCCTGAGACTTCTCTCCGGACAGCGCACTGAGGTCAACACCTTTTAACAGTGTCGCGCTGGCTAATGTACGATCCAATCCATTCAACTTATGAGAGACTTCTTCGAGTGCTTTCAAAGCATTCTACAAAGTTTCACGGTTAGACATTATGGATACTGAGACGTGTAAGAAAATCTTACGAGAGCAGAGTCTCGAAATTTAAATGATTCTTCGGCTCCTTTGCGTAGAGACTTCGCCTCTTCTTGCAAAGAAGTGAATTCCTTTTCTCTTGATTTCGTATCTTTCAACTGGAAGGTAAACATTTTTAATGATTCTAGTACATTGGCATACGTACCAGGTCATCAAGATCTACTCGTATCCGCAGTATCTTCGCTGCTGTTTTAATCCCCTCTGTCTTTCTAACTGGACTTGACCGAGAATCTGGCAAGTACCATGCACTCTATGAGTTCCACTTCGTACTTGATACGGTAATCTACCTATCCTTTGTGTAAAATAGTCCGGAAGATAAAACGTATCTAGCGGTTCGTCAATGCTTTTCAAAATCTCAGTCATGTCATTCTGGAGCACGTCCAAAGCCGATTCTTTTCTGACATTATCATGTCGCAAATCCAAAATCTGAAAGCCACGAGGTAATGGTGTGAAACAAAAAGAAAAAGAAAAAGAAATAAAAATCTGCAGACCTTTCGTTTGCTTTCCTCCGTAAAAGCTGCAAGCCTTTTCTCCGAGATCTCGACCTGAGCTCTCATGTAGGCCATATCCTTCTCATAGGCCTGCAAAGACAACATTGTAAAACTCCAAAACAGTCGGGAACATTCAAAACAAACCTTACTGTTGTACTGCAGCTGATGCTTGTACTGCCTGACTTTTCTCTTTTGATTTTCCAGAAGTACTTCTCTCTCATCGGAAAGAACTTCGAGTGCTGATACCCTGACTACACGTGAAACAAACGCTAAGCGTGAGAAGACACACAGAGGAAAAAAACTTACCTTGCTCTCAAGCGACTGATCAGCTCGTTACTTCGTTCCAATTCCGAGTGATATTGCTTCTGCTCCAACTGCATCGCGGACTCGGCCTTTCTAGCCATCCTCCGGTAGAACTCCACACCACCATAATTCTCAGCATATCTAGAGGTCACAAATAAGTAGCTACCGACACGAAAATTTTACTTACATGTGATACTGCGTGGCGTCCAAAACACCTTGCTTGACCTTCTGCGACAGAGCTGATCGCTCGTTCTGCCTCGAGTAAGTCTTAATGTAAGGAAGCGACGACTGCGATCGAAAGCAAAACGATCAAGAACCTGGCCAGACAGCAGGGCGATCGATAGCACAGACCGTAGCCGGAGGCGCAAATATCGATTCCGCTGCCGGATCTTCGCCATCGGATCCAACTTCCGTGGCGAGGCCGAGTGATGTGTGCGCTCGCCGGCTCGGCACGCCGCGCCTCCGCATCGACATCTCCCAGCTCGAGAGGAAATATTTCCTCCGCAAGAACAAGAAGATGTGTGACCTAGAGTTTGCCCAGGCAGAGTAGAGAGATGAGAAGGGACAATGGCAACAAGCTCCACGGCCAATCCCAGCCGCACGATTGGATTCAGTAGCCCTAGCTTTTAAATTTTGGCGGGAATTCCAAGTTTAGAGAAGATGGGACGAGCTTGAGCGGAGAAGCTCTGGGAACCGTGACCCCGAACGCTTCGGTCATGTCCATCTCCTCCCCGCTCGCCAATTTCCAATCGAAAGCATGGATCAAGTTCGCCAGGATGAACATCACAGTGGTCATTCCCAAAGTCACGCCTGGGCAGCCCCTCCTTCCCGATCCGAAGGGCAAGTACTCGAAGCTCTGGCCTCTCACGTCCATTCCCTGGCACTTCTCGAGAAATCTCTCGGGATCAAACTTAAGAGGCTCGTCCCACCACCGCGAATCCCTCGCGATCGCATACGCATTGACGATCACTCGAGTTTTCGCGGGGATGGTGTAGTTCTCCAGCACGCAGGCCTCTGCGGATTCGTGTGGGAGGAGCAGTGGCCCGGCGGGATGGAGGCGGAGTGTCTCTTTGACGACTGCTTGGAGGTACCGGAGCTTTGGAAGATCGCTCTCGTCCACCATGGCTTTGTCCCCGACCATTTCCGTGAGTTCTTCTTGGGCACGGCGAAGCAACGCTGGATCTTTCACAAGCTCGGATAGAGCCCACTCCACTGTCACAGCGGTAGTATCAGTTCCTGCCCCGAGCATGTCCTGCGTGACGCTTGGATCATCGGCTAGAAACAAGAATAACGAAAACTTTAGCGTACCTGGCTGAGTGATTTGATGGAAGTGTCGCTCAGTTCCTCCATAGCCAGCATCACGTCGAGGAAATCTCCGTTGCTGCCTGGCTGCTGGCGGTGCTCGGCGATCTGCTTAGACAAGTACGCGTCCTGCTGCTGGTGGATCCTCTCCATCTTCCTCGCCTGCGGGTCGACCCACGCCAACCACGAGAAGGAATCGCTGAGACAACTCGTCCCGACCACAAACGCTTCCGTGATCAAGTCCTTGAATCTCACCGCCGCCTCCTTCTCGGCCGAGGTTCCCGTCAAGTAGCTCTTGTTCATCACCATCCTCGTCATGATGTTGAAGGTGAGATCCGAGAGCTTCGTCGTCAAATCCACCGGCTCGAGCTGCTTGTCCGACTGCTGGTGGCGAGAGAGCTCATCCAGCACGAACGCCATCTCGCGCTTCCGAACGGGATGGGACGTCTCCACGCGCTTGGCAGTGAGGAGCTCCAGCGTACACAGCTTCCTGACGGTCCTCCAGTGTTCTCCATAAGGTGCCCAAACCAGGCCAGCGCCTCCATAGCCGAAGATCTTGCCAGCGACAGTGGAAGGCCTGGACGAGAAGACGTGGTCGTGTGTCTTGAGCACCGCTCGAGCAGCCTCGGCGGAGGAGATGACAAGCGTCCTGTGGCTTCCGAGCTTGAGGAGCATCACGTCTCCATACCTCGAGGCGAGCTTTTGCAAGGACTGGTGGGGGAGCTTACCAAGAAGATGGAGATGGCCCAGGAGTGGAACTGCCCGTGGTGATGGCGGCAAGCTAAAACTTTTGCTGCTGCTCTTGCTCATACATCCGAGCTTGAAAACCAGTGCCTTGAGAAATGCCAGTGCCAACCGGAGAAACTCCATAGCTTTCCCAGATCCCCAGTGACTTAGAACTATAAGAAGATTCCAGAGTGTCCTCTTCGATAAGTCGGAACGAAAGCCTACGAACAAGAATGTGGTGGTCCAGCTGTCCAATAGTCACTCCGGCCACGCGAGCTGTCGATTCATCCAAGAAAAATCGCATTTTGGTCCGTCCCGAGAGGAAGCTTGTCACTGTTTGTAAGAGTGGAGGTCCGCCTTCTCGTAGATGTTTGAGAGAAGAACATAGGCGGCACCGTGCCGCGCGTCCAGCTTCACGGCATTGTCAGCGGCATTTCTTCCAAGCTCGACCATGCTCTTCTCGCAGCCATGGCTCGACGCCGAGCACGCCGCCGCGAGCAAGCGCCTCCACTCGACGAGCTCCGGGAGGAACGGCATGTTGGCGACGAGATCCCGCGCGTCACTCAGGTGTCCCGCGCGGCACAGCACGTCCGCTACGCACGAGTAGCTCTGCCTCGTCGGCGTCACGCCGTGATCCATCACCATGGACACAAAGCATCTCTTCCCGCGATCAAACACGCCGCCGTAGCTGCATCCCACCATGACGCACACGAAGGTGGCCTCGTCCGGCTGGAGCCCCTCGCGTTGCATCTCGTGGAACAGCTCCAGCGCATCGCGCGGCTCGCCCTTTTGCGAGCACGCCGCGATGATCGCGTTCCACGAGATGGAGTCGCGGGCTGGGATGCTGTGAAAGACTTCTTTCGCGTGCTTGAGGAGGCCCTTGTGAGCGTAGGCCGAGAGGAGAGTGTTCCACGCCGCGGTATCCCACTGTGGCATCGCGTAGAACAGGCTCAAGGCCTCGCCGAGCTCGCCGCTCCGGGCATACGCCGAGATCATGGCGGACACCGGGACGACGCTGAGCTCCGGCATTCTTGCAAGAAGATCCCGAGCTTCGTCCACAAGATCGTGCTGCGCGTATGCAGTGAGCATGGCTGACCACGAAACCAAGCTCCAGCACGGCATTGTGTCAAACAAGTGCTTACACTGCTCTATCATCCCCGCTCGGGCATACGCGGTGAGCATCGCGGTCCAAGAGATCACGTCTCGCTCCGGCATTCTCTCGTAGAGTTCTCTCGTCTCCTTTAGAGATCCATACTGCGCACACCCGGCTAGCATTGAGTTCCACGCAAAATGGTTTTTTTCCTTCATCTCGTGGAAGATCTTCCTGGCGTTGTCGAGCTCCCCGGCTTGAATGTACACGTCCAGCATCGCAGTCCACGAAACGGTGTCCCACTCGGGCATGGACGCGAAGACGAGCTCGGACTTGCGAGAGAGGCCGTTTTGCGAGAGCCCGGCAAGCAGCGCGGTCCATGAGATCACGTCTCGCTCGGCCATCCCGTGGAACAAGAGTTCAGCCTTTTCCAAATGCCCGTTCTGGGCATATGCAGTGATCATGGCATTTAAGCAAGCAACGTCGTGCTCAGGCATGCACTTAAACAACGCACTTACTTTCTCAAGACTACACTTGTGAGAAAATCCGACCACCACTACCGTCCAGGTGATCAGATTTTTCTCGGCCATGGCCATAAATAAAAGTTGAGCATCATACAAATGCCCGTTCTGGGCAAACGCTGCAAGCATAGTGTTTAGTGCCATAAGATCCCACCGCGGCATTCGGTCAAAGACATCCTTCGCGACCTGCCAGTTCCCAGCTTTGCAATACGCAGTGAGCATTGCGTTCCACGACTCGGGATTTCTCTCGGGCATTGTGTCGAAGAACTTCTTAGCGAGATCGAGATGCCCGTTTCTTGCGTAGGCCGATTGCATCAAGGCCCAGGAGAACGTGTTCTTGTGCGGAATGGAGTCGAATATGATGCGCGCTTGCTCGACACTGCCACATCGACCATACATTTGGATGAGGGTGTTGGAGAGAAAGAGGGAATTGTGAGACGAGGGCGAGAGAAGACGAGAGGGAATTCTCGAGTGGACGCTCTTGGCTTGAGGGAGACTCTTGCACGATTTGATGAGAGTGATATAGTCCTGGAAAGTGGCTTCCATGGAGCACCCATGTAGAACGCTTCACATAATAGTACATTACACTGATATTATCAGTGCTTCATGCTTAAAACTTGGCGAACAACGGTTCCTTGGAAAAGCTTCTCAGCCTGAAAGAAAATCCACAGCAAAAGCTTCAACGTAGAAAAAGAGAGGGAAAGATTTATTCACTTACTTGCTTTGCACTGAGTCCAATTTTTTGAAGATCTCTAAGCTGGAATACACAATGTTAATCGTTGAGCGATGAGAAAAAATGTTACACACTTACTTGGTTGAAAGGAGCTTCACAATTAGCTTCACGGAGCTTCAATATGGCATCTGCACGCTTCTTTCCAACACCCTGTACATTAATCAAATAATTTTCCTCGTCAAGAAATAAAGGATGTACCTTGAGTGAGAGCAAATCTTCTCTAGTTCCAGTGTTGAGAATATCAAGGTATTCTTTCAAAAGAGCTCCCTGCGAAAGCAAGCACCACCAAATCGATACCAAACTAATCAGAAGAACTCATATTCTCACCTGTAAATCGCGACTGTTGTTGGTAAATCGTTCAACAGCAGTCCAGCCACAATTTGAGATTTGTTGAACATCGTCATATCTCGGTGTACAAAGTTCCAAGCTTCTTTGAGGAGTGAAGTTGATTGGTAGAGGTGTCAGTGCTTCTCTCAGAGAGCTCCCGAGGTTCCGAAGCATTGAGCTCAAGGGCGGGGAATTGGAGGGAACAAAAGTTTTTTCTTGTGGTGTACATTGCATATCGTCCTCCTGACTTGTGATGCTCGTCAACTCTGTACACACTGTTGAGTAGATAAATAAATAGCCAGCAGCGAATACCTTGACGAACGTTTGCTTCTTTCGCAAAGGGAGAGCACGAATTTGTTTCTAATGACGAGCACACTTCCTCTGCCTCCTCTGGCTTTTCTTTAGGATCAGTGTTGGTTTCCTGCCCATTCTCTAGTGCCGGCACGTCCTGCAGAGAAACATGATTCGTTATGCGGGATATTACACATTAAACTTACTTCAACAATTGAGAAGATTGCTGACTCACGGTAGGATGTCTCGGTCCTGGAACTATTAAACTCGTCAGAAAGAAAAGAAAAATTAACCATATCACTCCGTACCTAGAACAAGAAGAAGACCCAGCTTGAACTCTTTTCAATGTGAGCCGCTGTCCAAACCGAGAAGGAGACTTGCTCGAAGGCTTATTCTGCACCGGGCTTGAAAGTTTCAAGGGAGAATTGACAAGAGATTTCCTTGCAGGTTTAAATTTTGAATCTGTGTCGACTGGCGATTCAATACTGTCAGGATTTGCAATCTGCCTTGATCTTACTGCCAGACGCAACGTCTGTGCCGCTTCCATGTAAGACCCAGGACTCTGTCGCAAGAAACACTCTTAGCATAAACTTGTGATACAATAGAATCACATACCAGGCAAGCAATCATTAGCGCGCAACTCGTTCCACCTAGGGAATCCTGTAAAATGCGAGTTAGCTTGCTGTCTCGATATGGCACCCTCTTTTCGTTCGCATTCAAAGCGTTGATCACGTTCGATAAAACGAAGAGCGATTGATTGATCCTGCCGCTTTCAACAAGGCGAATGCCATCAGTACCTGACCGTCGGGTGTCCTCGTTTCCTACAAACAAAATAAGTATTCAAGAAAGAACCTTGAAGAAAATAGCATCAAGGAACCTGCAAGATCTATGAGGCTCAGCTTTCCAACCAACGGCAAAGTCGTGTTTTCTTCGTCAGTGTTTGTCACAGTCACCACCAACACACTGTGACTGCGGCTGGAAGCGGCGTTTAGTCCGGTGACACCAATCTTTCGGTTCGAGCAACCTTTTGCAAACAGATCTTGAAATTCTTTCAACGATTTGACTTGAACCTGCAAATGTAGAAAAGGCGAATATTGTCACAAAAACGAAATTTGTAGAAAACTTCTGCACCTGAGCAAGTCCCCGAAGCTGGATATTACCATCACTGTCTTCTAGAATAGGTAGTTCACCCGACTTTGGCTCCAGGAGATCGTAACAACGCTCCATGTAAAGCTCGTAGTAGGAAAGCTCGATTTTGCATTTAGCATCACGCTCGGCCAAGGACAGGATATGCATCAGTCCCAGAACCATGAGACCGGGATTTTGTTCTTCTCCCTGAAAAGCATCCAGTTAGCGCAAAGAAAAGATTTACAAGCATGATCCACCTGCATCGTGTAGGTTTTCCCGCTTCCAGTAGCTCCATAGGCAAAGACTGTGGCATTGCAACCACAAAAGAGCAGCGGTATCACTGGTTCCACCTCGGCTTTGAAAATTTGGGCGAGATCATCCGACTCTCCATAGCAGCAATCCAGCTTGAAAGATTCAATTTGACTGCTAGTAGAATGAATTCAGTCAGTCGGGAAGGAAATGGAGAGAATCACTTACGTGGTTTTCTCGTCACAGATCTCGATGGTGTCCTCGCTCTTGCGGACGCATTGATTCCTCTCGGCCTCGTCCAAACAGAAAGGGCGTAGTCTAGACACAACACGAACCTTGGAGCGCCGGGGCTTCATTGGCGATGCCGTGACGGGCGTCTTCCTCATGGGAGAGATCACTCCAAGGCGCGATCGCCGCGGCGTAGAGACTCGAGGGCTCAGCATTGCTGCTAGGTAGCTTCAACCTAAAGCCCAAATCTCTCAGAGACGTTGGAAGAAATGGCCACGTCAGGCACTTGCGTGGCATTATTTTGAAAATCCCGCCATGCTAATGTTGTAAGCCCTAGCGACGAGGCCCTAGCGGTAAGGAGCGCCTGCGAATGTATGGAAGGATTTTACGCGGCAGTGCAGGATTCCCGAGATTTTGAGCAGCGATCACTCAGAGTGATTTGATTCGACTCAATCGCACAGCCTTGGTACTTGCCGATGCGGTCTACTTGAAGGTCCAAACTCTCAAGGTATGTTCCTGGATCCTGGAACTCGTAGTTTTTTTCACTAGATTCTTAGTCGCGAAGCAGCTTAAGAAAAATGCGAGAAGCTTGGAAGAATAGAGAGAGAACGTTGATAGCACACAATCTTATTGATCCAAGGTTGCCTTTTGCTTCTTGTCTAACGCGTGATACTTGTGAATGCAGACTCGATGTCGAGATCCGTGAGCTTCGAGCCAAGGCTGCTACTAAGTCCCCAAGCTACAAGTCTACTCGGGTTTCTCGCTGGAAACACTTACTAGTGATTCAAGGTATGAGTCTCGACTACGCAACCATCATTTAATCTCCTGCTCTTTGTTGGCCGGAACAGAAACTGAACCATCATCTTCGATTCCGTCAGGCTGACCATTTTCAGCTTGGTGGTCTGTTTTCGTTCCTGTAGCTGGCTGAGCCTCGAACTTGAAGCTTTTGAATCCCTTTGAGTCTTCTGGTACGTCGCTCGTACACTCTGGCTGGGGAGTAACCACAGCTAGAGAAGCTGAGTGTCCCTCCTCTTCCTCAGAACTTTCTGATGAGGTGTCCTTTGAACTTTCAGAATCTGGAGATTCATCTTCTTCCATATTGTCAAAAGTAACCACCGATTTCGTTTTTCCTTGATTCGTCGACTGTTCATCTTTGCTTCCTTTTTCCGGCTCGGATTCTTCTGCTACTTTAGCCGCAGCACCTGCCTCCTCTTTCTCGACAATACCTGTTCCGTCAACTCCTTTACCTCCTGCTGTTTTGCCCAGCTCTGGAACATTTTCCCCTGCTTTGTCAAGAGCTTCGTTTACCAGTTTTGAGACTGTGTCAGCTGCTGCGTCTAGAACGTCCTCGACAACTGCAGAAGCAGTTGATTCCTCTAGAATGTCCTCCACCAGCTTTGAAAGAGTTTCGGGTGCGTCACCTGTTTCTAACGAGGGGCCCATTTCCGTGCTTTCCCAGCTTTCAGAGACTATCAAAGGCGACTCGGCGTCGTCTGTCTTGAAAATTCGATTTGGACCAGGTTGCCATTCAGGTACTGCTTTCTTGCTTGTAAGGACGAACTTGTACTCGTATTGTTCTCCGACAGGCAGGTCCTAGATCATAGCATCAGGCTGTCAGCTGCTCCGCAATTCACCCCACGAACTCAATACGACTTACTATTTGGCACTTCCAGACGTGATCTTCGGACCAGTCCATAGAAACGCCCGCTGCTGGATCCCATGCTCCCAGTAAAGGGCTCGCACCAACGACAGCAAACCGCTCGCCATAGTCGCATTTTTTTTGCAACATAAAGGTCGTGGTAACCATCGGCATCACTTCTTCTACAAGGACAGGTCAGGACGTCATTAAACAGTTTCTAGCTCTCCGATAACTCACCCGACTCTTCGACAGCGGCGTCATCCGATTCCTACAGTGATTGACGACAGCAGCACTATCAGAACGGAGATTTCGCAAAGGCTGAAACTTACGGAAGCAGTAGTGAGGACGAGGCGAGCAGCCCGTGGGGCTAGCACTCTAGCAGCTTTCCGGTGCCGTAAGATTCTTCGCTCGAAGCATGAGCATTGCAAAAACCCCTGGCGAGAGTCCCTCGAGCCAGAGACGGCACCTCCGACTAACTGCTGCCACACTAGAGGGCGGTGGCAGACACCCAATGCTGCTGCGAATTTCTCCATTCCCGATCCAGGTACTTGGCCGCTCTCCTGTTTCTTACCTGGGATTCCCGACTTTGTGATAGAACGCAATCTGATGGTCACTGTTCTTCTGGCTTAACGCTGGAGTTACATTACTACGACAAGTGTCCCGGCAATGAATTCACACCGTAGACGGAAGTGGGGGACAGCGCCACCCGTGAAAGTTTCGCCTGTAACACACATGAATGAAATGCATCTTCAAAGGTGGGTGAGAAAAGATTCACTCTTTCTTGGTTAGTGGAAGGGCTGCTAGGACATTTGCTACAAACACTAGAGAATCTATTGATACTCATCCACTAACGCGGTTGATTTGATTGGCAGCACTCCACTGTCAAGTATGAACCGTATAAAATCGTACCCTCCACTATCTTAGCCGAAATCCATGAAAGAAATATTTTAGTCAAGCTTTCGAAAAGAGCAAACAGTTCATTCGCCAGCAATTTAAAGGTATGATGATTACATTTCATTTTTGTACTCAGAAGGGAAGAAAAATGTCTCACAGATCGAATTGCTCCGGCATGGCTGCCTCGTCCGACGATGTAGTAAACGATCCGTGCCCGGTGCTGCAGTCTCCACTTCCATACTTGCTGGCCGGTCTCGTCGCGATGGTCGTTCTCGTCACGATCGCCTTGACGATACTCGCGTGGCCTCATCTCAGGCGCTACTACAGCTCCTCTCCCGCTGCTGCTACTGCTGCTGCTATGGAAGATCATTACGACTGTGCAAAGCCACCGCCGACGATGAAGTATGATGAAAGTACCACAAGCTGCGAGAGGATCGTGGTGATAATGGCGGGCCAAAGCAAGCCAACACATATGGCTACTATTACCAGTTAAGTGCTTTCATCTTTCGTTTCGCCCGTCCCGCGAAGCTAGAGCTTTGCAAACACAGCGGGCTTGGCATTTACTACGAGCAAGACTAGAAAGCGGCTTCTTTAAGTTTTCAGCAGCTCTTAGCACTCTGAGATTCATCACCACGACAACTTGCAGAGAAAGAAAACGTGGAAAGGATCAAGAGGCAGTGGTGACACCAGGAAATCCATGGCATACAGGGAAACGTTGAGATATTTTATGCGAACTGGCTTCCAGGTTCTTACAGTTCACTTACCGTAGTACTGGATCGTGTCGTGAAGAAACTGACGGAAAATTAATCAAAAACAAGGCGCGGAACTTGCTCGACGTCTAGAGTCCGCTCAAACAGAGCAGTATGAGCCATCGAATCCTTTCCTGGTTAGCTCTAGAGCGAGGCTGGTAGTGGCGGCTGATGTCCGATTGGCAAAGGAGGAACTGACGTAAAGAGGATAGAATACACATAAACGCTTGTTTGATTATATCATGTGAGATCCATCCCATCTTTTGATTGCGAAAGAAGTTTGATAGATCGAACTAAAGCAGTCTTTTACCGGTAGATCTTTTACCGCTGATAGCTTGCAAGGATCTCAGAAGATTAAGACAGGAAAGAAAGAAAAAAAAAAAACAGAAGTTTCACGAGGCTGTGGCCACTCTGGTGGCCCTGGTTCCCACAATCTTGCAAACCGGCCACCGGGGATCCATGGCATACACCACGAGTCCGGGGGTGACGTTGAGATCCTTGATGCGAACCGACTGCCCGGCCTCCAGATTGCTCAAGTCCACCTCGATATACTTTGGGATCAAGTCGGGAGCACCGTAGTACTGGACCGTTCTCCTGATCGTGTTGAGATATCCACCTGGGAAGAGAGAGGAGGAAGAAGATCAGAATCGCCCAAGAGAAAAAAAAAAATGGAAGAAGAAGCGAAGAGGATCCATCACCTTTGCGAATTCCCGGGCAGACATCGGCTCCGATGAACACCAGCGGTATGTCCACTCGCAGCCTCGCGTGAGGAGGAGCTCTAATGAAAGTCGCGTTGAGGACCTTGTCCGACACAGCGTGTACGTGGATCTGGAAAGAACAAACCAAAACAATCGAGTGAGACAGCAACCAAGAGCAAAGCACACGCAAAGACGATGAAGGAATGAATACCTACAAGACGAGGAAGAACTCTCTCCCGAGAGATGAGCTCTCCTTCCTTGGGATCCGGCTCGGTGCGCAGCTCCAGCGTGTAGAGCCGGCTCATGAAGAAGCTCTGGCCGAATTTCTTGAGCAGCAGGTTGAGCTTGTTGGAGTTGAGGACGAGGAGCTGCTTGTGGCCGCCCTGGTGCCCGTCCTCCTGGCTACACACAATGCCGGGGATGATGCCCTTGTTCCTCATTTTCATACACGCCCGCGTCCCGGATTCCACCCGCGGCGCCGCGTAGAGCACATCCAGCACAGCCTCCTGGGGGACGGGTACCTTTGCCAGCGGCGGAGCTGCGGACTCCTCCTCCGCCGCCACCGCCGCTGTGGATTCGGAGTACCACCGGGTGATCGCCGCCCATCTTCGCGCAATGCACTCGCGCCTCCCCTGCGATCGCCATAGCGCTCGCATTTCCTCACCTCATCAACCCTAAAACCCAACGGTGAAGATGGACGGCTGAGATTAACTCATAAAACAAAGCATATGCTTATAACGTCTCGGGTTTTAGGGCTCTAGAGGATGTTGGACATTAAGTTGCTGCGGGACGATCCGGCGCTTGTCAAGGAATCGCAGCGGCGCCGTTTCCAACCTGAATCGGATGTAGATGATGTAATCGACCTGGATCGTCAATGGCGAGCTGGTAAGCTGTTCCTTTCAAAACTTTCAGAGGTTTTACACTCTTTTTCCTAAAGCCCAATTCAACCTCGAGAAAAAGTCCGCCGAAATCAACAAGATTGAAAAGGAGATCGCGAAACTTCTCCGGGTGAGTATCTTATCCTTGATCGAGTTGCCGAACGACACTGACTTTGGCTAGATCAGACAAATGGGGACTCCGCAAATCTGCTGGCGGAGAAGGGCGCCCTGGAGAATGAACATACTGAGCTAAAGCTGCGAGCTTCAAAGTTAAAGTTGGAGCTGGATTCCAAGTTGAAGTCTTTGGGCAACCTCGTGCACGATTCTGTGCCTGTCAGCTCAAACGAGGTAAGATCCATTGTGTTATACTTGTAGAACAATAGATCTCTCGACTGTCTTGTGATATTTGCAGAAAGACAAGGTGGTTGTCACGAAATGGGGTGTACCTCGACAAGATCAAGAGGCTCTAGAAAATCATGTCAGTCTGTGTAAAAAGCTCGATGCGGTTGATGTTGAGCGGGGTAAGTTCGTGGAATTTATTTTGTCAAGTGGCGATCTCGAGCTGATGTTTAAGCTCTGTTTCTAGGTGCTGCGGTGGCAGGCCATCGAGGCTACTATCTGTTGGACCCGGGGTTTGAGCTGAACATGGCGCTCGTTAACTTTGGGTTGAAGTTTCTGAAAGATCGTGGCTACAGAAAGATTCAGACGCCTACTTTAATGGACAAGGCTGTGATGAAATGCTGCGCACAGCTCTCTCAGTTCGACGAGGAGCTCTATGAAGTATGTTTGTTTCGAAACTTGCATAGCTGGTTGTTAAAACGTTTGTGCGTTTGTGCAGCTCGCAGGGGAGGGGAAATATCTCATAGCCACTTCGGAACAGGCTCTCTGCGGCTATTTGAAGGATAATAACGTGGCTCCAGAAAGTCTCCCCCTCCGGTATGTGGATATGTACTGTCTTTGGACTTGGACCGCTTCTTGAACGGTTTTGCAATGCAGATATGCTGGTTATTCTTCCTGCTTCCGTAAAGAAGCCGGAAGCCATGGCAAGGATACGCTGGGCATTTTCCGGGTTCACGAGTTTCAAAAGGTCGAGCAATTCTGTGTAACTTCTCCAGAGACATCCTGGGACATGCTAGAGGAGATGATAAAAACTTCTGAAGATTTCTACCAACAGGTACCAGAATATAGAAGCTTCACGCGTTGGGACTTTGTGTATAAGCATCCTTTGCTGTTTTGCAGCTGGGCTTACCTTACCAGGTTGTCAACGTTGTGTCTGGGGAGCTGAATGATGCTGCAGCGAAGAAGTATGATTTGGAGGCGTGGTTTCCTGCCGCGGGGAAATATGAGGAGCTGGTGTCCTGTTCCAACTGCACAGATTATCAAGCGAGGAGCCTGAATATCAAATCGGTACGCATGGTTTTTGCTTGCCTATAACTCTTGTTGATTCTTTGCAGGGGAAGAAGCTTGTGCACCTCTTAAACTGCACATTGGTAGCCACTCAACGAACCATGTGCTGTATCGTCGAAAATTATCAGACTCGAAATGGGGTACGTGTGCCTGAAGTTTTGCAGCCTTTCATGGATGGGACGACATTCCTTCCATTCCCCAAGTGAAAGAACTTAATGTTCACGCGTGCAAGTTCTACGTTTGAGGCCCGCGCATTAGGTTCAAGTACAATGTTTTACATCGGCGATAGAGACTGTAACTTGCAATGTTGGAAGAGGTAAAGTTCTCTCGATATAATTACAAACGTTTTTATAGGAAAATATTAAAATGAAAAATAAAGTTGATTCAAAATTCTTCTCGTGGAACTTTAACTAACTGAGCGGATGTGTTGGGATATTTTTATAACACACATTATACATACATACATATGTATGTATGTATATATCTGTATATATATATATATATATATATATATATATATATATATATATATATATATATATATATATATATAAAACACTTTTGCTTTTAAGAGCAGATTGCCTGTTCAAGTGGAGTAGGATGTGGTTATCTATTGTATATGCTCTTGGATCAACCCTTGCTTTGAATTTATTATAAAAGCATGATAAGAATATGAAATTTTAAGAAATTAATTACAATCAGTTATCATTTCTCATAGTCCATCAAAACACAAATGTGTCTAACTTTTGGATACTATGTCTCATTATAAGCACAGAGAGTTAAAAGGTTTGAAACATAGGATCAATGTGTATAAGATTCTTGACAGCCACTCTTTCTCTAACCAGATCTTGATATAGCTTTTAAGCAGTGAGCATATCTAAATCATTATGTCCAAACAGAATGGCATATTTTATATTAGTTTCTTTGCTTTAAAGGCTATTAATGATGTTCTCTCAACCACAAACTTTTCCCAGGCTTGATGAAGTCTGATGTTGCTACATGCAATAGAAAAACCAGAAACAAAATATTGTTTAGGATCAAGCTAGAGTGAGTTGAAATAATCCATGGCTTGTCATCTAAAACCAATTTCTGAGTTGCTATCCAGCATTGCATTCCAACTTACCAATCCATTTCAGGCATTGCATCAAAGCAGATTTGCCAAGCTTCCATCCATAAATGCCATCAAATAGATCCATGACACCATCAATATTTGTTTAATTAAGATAGCCATTTTATATACACTAAAGTGGCATTTGATTTTGTTTAACTGTTTAGTATCCTTTTTTATTAGACCTTCCCATTCTAGAATTAGAATGAGAACTAAACCCCAAAATGAGAGTTTAACTTTATCTTTAAATATAAGTTTAAGGTTAAAAAAGAATTTTTATTTAAAAATGAAAGTTTAAATATCTCTTGAAAGGTTATTAAATTTGAGGCATGCTTTGAGGTTGGCTGGTCTAATTTTTACATGCAAACTCCATTCTTGTTGTAATGGGATTGGGCTGAGGGCAGATGGATCTAGTTAGTGCCATGGCAACAAGGATGCTAGTGATACAAGGCATGGGCACTAGTGAGTGAGTGGTCTTATGTTCTCTAGAATAAAAACAAGCAGTAAACTTATACTTCCTGCCACTAACATGGCTCCACTTCTTGCAGGAATCTAGTGGGGGAATACTGGACCATAGCAACCAAGGGCTAATAGAGATTGCTATGATCACTGCTACCTCGGCCATGTAAAAAGTTCTTCTTTTACTTCATTTGATAGTTATATTGATTTTTGCAGTTTACCAGAGATCTTCCTTGATTTCCTGTAGTTTGTTCTTTCAGGAAAGAAATACCAATGTTTTTTTGAGGTGGTAAGTTTGGCTTGAATCTAGGCTTTAGAATTAAGATGAGGATATTTTCACTAGGACACCCTAGATGGTAGGCTGAACAACTTAGCAACGCTAGAAAAAGTTTTAACAAACTCCCTGCACTTCTGGGAAATTTCTATAACTATTTTATTTAATCTACTAGTTTTACAACTTTGAATTGGTGTTATTATAGAAAGTTAATCAGCTGAATTAATGTATTTTTTGCTAGAAGCTGTTCTATGGTCTCTTTTTAGCGTTCTATGTGAAAGGAGCATTGGAAATCATACAGACATATATCTTCGACACATTCTATGCTTTGGTTCACGTATAATGTTTTCGATCTGATTAACAAGCCAGAGCGGCCAAGCGAAGCAATGTTCTTCTGTGATAGAGAACCCTTTGCTGCCTATACTTTTGGAGAAACCCCGGGACCTCAAGCTCGCCACTCAGTAAATTGCGATGCAAACTCTCAGATTCGTCGTCTGCCGCATTGGCCGCCTCTGGAATGAACGAATACCCCAGGTGAGCTAAGAAGTAAAACTAAATAAGTTCTCTCTCTACCTTGAAGCTTGTTTAGAATTGATGCTGGCGAGCTCCTTGCCAATATCTCTTTCTCTCGCCTTTGAGCGTCTAAAAACTTCTCCTGTGCCGTGGCCAACTCGGTCGTTCTGATGATCATACACTGCACACTGACAAAGTTATAAAAAAGTTTTTTAAAAAAAAAACAGATCTTTCCACGAAAGAAAGAAGCATACCTGATTTCTAAGCTCAGCCATCTCGGATTCCTTCCCCAAATTGTGTCCTGTGAAGCAAAGAAAAGAATTTTTTGTCCAACGGAGAAGAACAAAACAATCACTCACTTGCAAGGGTCACATTGCTCTTCTTCAAATCGTTCCGGAGCTGCCAAAATTCCCAGATAAGAATCCAGACAAGAAGAAAGGATAGATCGCAAACCATGCTATACCGTGTCACTGTCCAATTGCTTCACCTCCTCGATCGAATGGAGGTAATTCTCGTAGGCATCTTTATCCGACAAGAGCTTCCGGAGCTCCTCGACGCTGCAAAAGAGACGGATGTAAGGCTGGGCAGCGATCGGTCAATCCCCACCTCTTGTCGTGGAGCATGGATTCATTCATCGACATAGAAACCCTAAAATAAGAACCCTAACCCTTGCCCAGCTTGCTATACAAGAAGGAACACACGCCCACCGCCACGGTGATCAGCCCGGCCATGGCGCTCGTGATCACGGTCCGCTTC